GGGGATTTGTTATTAGTAACAAGTAATAATCTCTAATAGAGCATTTTTTTTTTTAATCCTCACCCAACGATATTTTTCTATTTATCTTCAGATAGAGTGGGAGGGAGGGAGAGAGAAACATTCATGTGAGAGGGACACATGGACTGGTTGCATTTTTTTCAGTTGCCTATTTAGCCCCACCTTTTATTTACCACTTGAGTGTTCTCTTTGTTTCTGGCACCCGAGGATTGAAATTTCTGGTTTTAGCACTTAGTTGTACATTTCAAATGCCTTTGTTATGTTTTAACGAACATTTATCTTTGTCAGGAATTATGGGTGCTTCCCAAGTCAATTTAGTCTATTATAGTGATAAGAAGTCTAACAAAGACCATCTTAAATTCCCCAAATCAGTAAAATTATAATCTTGCAATAAAAGTATTGAAATTATTTTCCCGATACTTCTTACACCAGCCTTTTTTTATTTGTGATGGGCCAGCATTTTCCTGTTGGTTGACACGTGGAAGTAAATGATCTGGGCACTGAGAGACTAAGGTTCTGGTCCTGGCTTTATCACTTGCTAATTGCAAACTTGGGGAAATCACTGAAGTTCTCTGAGCCTATAATTAGCTATAAAATTGGGATATTATTTTTTGCTCTGCTCATAGGATTATTATAAGGATCAAATAAGATAATGGATTTGAAAATGCTTTAAAGCTTAAAACATAAAAATTTATGGTATTAGTAATAGCAATTTCAAGGGTTAAAAACCGTTAGCACATTCATTAAGGTATTCTTAAAATATTAAAATACATGAAAGATCATGTTTTTTGTTTGGTTTTGTTAGTTTGGTAAGCTGAAAAAGAATCCTGTATCTTGGTAAGGGCCATTATTCTATTAAAATATCTAATAAAGGAATTACTTGGGAAACATTTTTCTTGTGAAATTTAAGAGCACTATCTGTACTGACAGGCCATTTATAACTTCAAGAGACTATGAAATTCATTGTAGAGAGACACACCCTTAGCAGTTTACAAAACAGAGACTTGAACCTGGAAGTCATCATTGCATTTTGTTATTATGTGTTTTCTCAAACTATGGATACTGAAAGTTCTATAACTATTTTGTGAGGGACAACAAATATTTTTTTAATGCAGAAAAGATGTCCTCTTACTTGAACATGTTGAGAACCCCCAGCCTAGCCTACGGCAGCGGTCCACTCACTAGGCTGTTTGGCCCCAGATCCTCTCTCATTGGAACATGCTCTCTAAGGAAGAGGACTATGTCAGTTCTCACTAGTGTTCATCAGTCATCTGTGAGGTCTATTGCAGAGAATTTATTTACTAATGGTTTAAGTACAAAGTTTTCAAATGATTTACTTAAAAGGAAATTAGAGGTTGACACAAAATGGCAGACAGATATGCACATCTGCTTTTTGCCTACGAAATCTCATAAAAATACATAGAGAAAGATATAGATAAAATAGAGTTTAATAGCATTGAGAAACAGGGAAACTTACTGTGAGAAGAATCACATTTTTAATAAAGTAAAAAATATATTACCAGAGAACAAATGTGTGGAGGAACAAAAAATGGAAGAGTCTGACACATGTATAAAGATGACTGCTGTGGAGGTGGGTCTTTATTTTATTTCAGAGAGAGAAGGTAAGGGGGAGAGAGAGAGACAGACGGACATCGATTTGTTGGTCCACTTATTTATGCATTCATTGGTTGCTTCCTGTCTGTGCCCTGACCGGGGATCGAACCTGCAATCTTGGTATATCGAGATGATGCTCTAACCGGCTGAGCTACCTGGCCAGGAAAGTAGGTCTTATAGAACTCTGTGCTGAGAGGCAATGGATATTGAGAAGTAGAAGGGGAGGGTGTCAATGGGGGAAAAAGGAGAAACATCTGTAAAAAAAATAAAATTAATTAAAAAAAAAAAAGCAGAAGGGACTCTGGGGCATTTAGCAATTTGAGAAATTAGGGAACAACATGTGAAGCAGCACACCAGTCGTCCCCTCCCTGTTCTGCTGGTGCTAGGAATGGGAGCTATGGTCTGAACTGAATCATGCAAGGTCTGGAGAAGCAAGGCAGCGCCTGAATAGCTCCTGACCCCCAGGAGGATCAAGGAGCCTGTCAGAAAAATCCTCCTCAGACCCTATCTGCTACGTATCCCAACCCTGTCCCAGAGTCAGGCTATAATGGACAGACACAGCTTATACCGGTAGGGACCTGGAAAGCTCATAATCAAAGAAGAGTATATAACCAAGAATCACTAAACATGAAAGAAAAAGGTACAATACCAAGAAAGTGAAGCACTGCACTAAACAAATAAAAATTAATAGACTTGAGAGAGGAAACAAAAGACTTTGTAATATTCTAAGGTGATAAGGAAGGCTGTCACAGCTATACCATAGGAAGAGTCTTGTGTATTTAGACATTTAAAATATAATACTGAAATTTTAATAAATTTCAGTAGACTACCGGGCATACTAATGGTCATGGCTGGAAACCAAATTAGTAGAAAGTTACTGTCAAGGGCTCTTGCATTGTTTAGTGGCAAAGAACTATGAGAAGGATAATGAGAGAAAAGTTAAGAGGCATAGAAGATAGCCCTGGATTGTGTTGTTCAGAGGTTAGAGCAGTTGGCCTATGGACTGAAGGGTCACGGGTTCAATTTCCAGTCACAGGCTTGTACCTGGGTTGCAGGTTTGATCTCCAGCCCTGGTCAGGGGCGTTCAGGAGGCAACCAATTGATGTGTCTTTTGCCCATTGATGTTTCTTTCTCCCTCCCTCTCTTTCAGTCTCTTAAAAAATAAATCAATGGAGAAATATCCTGGGGTGAGGATTACCACCCCTTCCAAAAGAGAGGCATAGAAGATAAGTCCAAGTGTTCCATCATTCAGCTAGCAGCTGTTCCAGAAGGGAAGGAGAGAGAATGGAGGGAATAATACAGAAGGCTAGAGTCAAATTTTCCAGAGTGAGAGAAAAACTAGAATCTTCAATTGCTAGTGTTTTAATTCTATTGTCTCCAGTTTTGAGGTTTGAATCACCTTCTCTGCTGAACTTCAAACTTTTGCTCAGTTTGAGTTTCTTTGCGTGATTTGGAATTTCTGTTTGTGACCTTATCTTTATTAGAAACTGTTTCTTTTTACCCTGTGGATTGTCGAAATAGTTCTGCATTTGCTTTTTGTCAGGTGCTTTATCACCAGCAGGATTAATTTTTATGCTAATTTTCTCTCCTATGAGATGCCCTTGCACATAAATTCATATTCCCAACTGGAATGAGGCACAGGCTTGAAGTTTTACTTCCTAACAGATATTTTATTCCCTAACTATGGTTCAAGGCAGAGACAAACTTTCTTGCTGTCTGCCTGGTAGTGAGTGGAGTTCTTCAGTCTACCTTGTGCCTATAGGCCAGCTATTTGTGGGTTCTAGTTTTACGCAGTTTCAATTCCAGCTCTCTACTTGGGATGTCGTAAGTTTCCACTGATGTTCCAGTGCAGATTAAAAGTCAGGTTCCTAGCCTTTAAGACCTCTCTCTAAATCTCCTAACAACTGCTATCCCCCTTCCCACACACACACCAAAGTTTGCATTGTTATTGCTCCAATTATAGAATACATCTATACGATGAAAGACTATGCAGCTATTCAAATAATAAGGTAGTCTACATGTGTTGACAAGGAAAGATCTTCAAGATATATATTGATACACAAATCAGTTCTCTCTTTTGGAGCATGAGGACTTCTCTGTTTTGTGAGCTTGGCTATATATTTGTTGCTCCATTTTATTCAGCATTTCAAGGTATTTGTAATTAAAGGGGTTCACTATTAGCCTTAATCAGCCATGTAAGAACTGGAAGTCCCCAATATACAAATATGCAATAATGGAATTTATTTGTTTAGTCTGTTAAAATTTATTTAGCGGAGGAGAAAGAGGTAAAGATACACCTGTAGTCGCCCTGGCCAGTTTGGCTCAGCAGTTAGAGTGTCGGCCTGCAGACCAATGAGTCATAGGTTCGATTCCGGTCAAGGGCACACTTGGTCCCTGGCCCTGGTTGGGTCGTGCTGTCTCTCTCACATTGATGTTTCTCTCTCTCTTTCCCTCTCCCCCTTCCTCCCACTCTATCTGATGATAAATAGAAAAATATCCTCAGGTGAGGATTAAAAAAAAAGATTCACCTGTAGTCTTATTGATTATATAGATAATAGTGTGCATCTAGTATATTTCCATGGAAATTTTGGGGGCTTGCAAATACTCTTTGGGCAGCAGAGGGCTACTTCACCTACTTCTACTTGTGTGCAACATAACGCAGCTCCTAGTAGATGCATTCTGACACCCCAAATGTGCACAGTAGAATAGCGGTGGAATTAACCACACAGAACTTGTCTAAAAAAAGCAAAGGTTGCATTGGTGCCAGAAATAATCTAAGTAAAACAGAACACAATTTAGGAAATATTTTTATATTCTAAGTATTTACATGTCTTTGAATTAAGTGTGCGTGTATGTGTGTGTGTTGCACTGGGAGAGATGTTTTTAGTTTTTATTTATTTAATCCTCACCTGAGGACATTTCTGCATTTATCTTCAGATAGAGGGGAAGAGAGAGAGAGAAACATCAATATGAGAGAGACACATCAACTAGCTGCCACCCACACGACCCCAACTGGGGCCGGGGACAAACTGTAATCGAGGTACGTGCCCTTAGTGGGAACTGAACCCAGGACTCTCTGGTCTGTGGGCTGATGCTCTAACTGCTGAGCCAAACCGGCCAGGGTGGGAGAGATGTTTTTAGATTTTCAGTCTTCAATACACATAGAGGGATTAAAAGTTTTAGAATGAGGAGGAAATGTTAAAATGACTGAAGAACATTATCCTTAAATTGAAATTTGATTACAGTAATATTAACGATGTGATTACACTGGTCTCTTGATTGATCAATGGGCATAGTCTCATGCTTAATAACCTTATGAAGTCCTTATTATTCCAATTTTACAGATCAGGAAACCAAAGTCTGGAGAAGTTAAGTAATTTACCCAAGGTCACACAGCTCATACATGACAGAGCCAATATTCCAACCCAGGTTTGTTTGATTCCAGAGCCATACTAGTGACTGTCTAAAAGGGCCTCTCCTCTAAAAGGTTGATACTATTTGTTAATTACATCCACTTTGGTGCCAAACAAAGTTGTTCTGTTCATAAATAATGTGACATAGAAATATGTCTCATAATCCATCACTCATTGGAGACCACTTTTAAAATTTTGGTATATTGTAATTGTCTTTTTAAAAATTCATTTATGTAAATTGTACATTCTAAGGTTATTGATAAGAGAAAAGGCAAATGCAAGTGCCTATACGATGATTCGGAAAGTTCTCTACATTCCAGGGATTACAGGATTATGTTTTTCTCTGAAGAAGGTAATCTGTCCTGTTATTGGTGGACTTGAAGGATTGTGCCTGGTGATCAGAGCATCTGCTGCAGTTGTTGGAAGGACGTCTGCAATCTTCTCCCTTCTCTCCGGACTTCTGGGGCATGCCTTGGCTGCCTCTCTGACGTCTGTTTCTGATAAGAGGGTTTTAGTCTCTAACAGCTCTTGGGAATTCTGTCGGCAGAGACCGGGTGAGATCATTTTGTTTTCCGCTGAATTTCCTTTCTCTGTTTTTTTCGACTGCTCTGATGAGCGTGACCCAGGAGTGTTCAGTAATACCTCTGTTCCCTGAGGAGCCCTTGGCCTACTCTCTGGTTTTCTCTCTGTCTGTATGAAAACTCCATGTCGCTGTGGAGGAAAACAAAATTAACATTAACCAGGGAACACAAGTTGCTGGAACTATGAACTGAATTCATGTGTTAGATCAAGTCCCAGTGATTCAGGCACTTAGGTCTCTGCTTCTTCATTGGCTGTCACTTTAATCCCAAACTGGAAACAGCAGCATAATAATTATTGGTGAACCCTTTAAACAAATTATAAAATAGGGTGCACCAGAAAATGAACAGGAAAAGCAGAAAGTCAGAGAAGCAGCATCTCATTATCTGCCGTTCTCAACTCCTATCACTTGGATTGTGTAAGATTATTCATTTCAAATTTCATTTCTTGCTCTAGAGGTTGCTGTGGATACACTAGAAACTATAGTCCGTAGACCTGATGATTTATGATTGCATCCTGAATGTCTATTAGTTCCAACAAAAGACTTAGAGTGAAATATGAAAACAAACATTCGTAGATGGAAAATATCCAGCAGTTGACTCTTACATTTTTGTCTGGCTTCATAAACCTTACATGCAGCCCCCTGCAACACACACGTAAGTATATCAAAAAGTTTATCAAACTGCTTTGCTACTTACCTTAAGTGAATGATTTTAATAATTTAAACCAAATTCTAAAGATTGTGATCCAAAATTATGACATCATTCCTTAATTTTAACCAGGAAGTGGCTGAGATTTTATCCTAATAACCATGTTAACTTATTTAAATAGACTTTGAGCAAGATGATTATGACCTGAAAATAATTAAAGTTCTATCACAGATATCTCCCATCCCAAGGCATTAAGTACTTGATTCTAAATCCTGTTTCACCTTGCCCCTGATAGGCTCATTGGGAGTTTTCCTGGCATCATACTGATGTATAAAAGAGATGCATTCTATAAAATCCTTTTGAAGATCTGCGGATGCATCAGGAGAGGCAAGTGGAACTAAGGGGAAAAAAAGAGATTTGTGAAGTCAGGGCAAAAATTAGATTTGTGGATGGATATAACATCAGCATTCATAATATTCATGCTTTATCAAAAATGCTAATGAAACTAAGTTAAGTATGGAAAGTTACTTACGTCTAAATAATAAACAAAATAATTCAACAGCCTTTCTCTATAAAAGGAACCAAATCAAAAACAACCAAATTAGCCCCACATGTGGAATTACTAGTAATTTTAAAAACTAACATTAATGCAATAATGGCTATAAAAATCTGTTAGATACACTTCTTGCACACTTCCCCAACCAAAGTCTGGGGAAAAGCATAAGTACAATATATTTCTCAACTAGTTTTTATTGCTAAAAAGGCTGTGAGAGATGTACGCATACTCTGCTGGCAGCCAGCACCAACAGAGTGAGCGGGACCCCGCTGGCCTGCTGCAGGGGTCCCATTAACAGAAGCTCTGAAAATTCACAAGAGTATTAAACTCTGACTTTTAAATAATCTTTCACTCTGGGTGATGGGCTTATAAGGGTTTTTATATTGGTCTCTCTTCTCTGTATTTAATGTTTTATATACTTTTAAAAACTCTATTTTAGCATACAAGGTTATGGAAGGGGTAAGGGTAATCCCAACTTAGTGACATAAAATTCTGTCAAGTCAAAAATTTAAAACTTTTTTTTTTCATTTATCTTCAGATGGAGTGGGAGGGAGAGATAGAGAAGCATCCATGTGAGAGAGGCACATTGATTGGTTGCCTCCCACACGACCTCCACCAGGGCCAAGAACCGAACTGCAACCACGGTACGTGCCCTTGTCCAGAATTGAACCCGCGACTCTGGTCTGCAGGCCGACGCTCTCTAACTGCTGAGCCAAACTGGCCAGGGCTAAAAATTCTGTTTTATGAAAAGAATGTACATAAGACATTATGTACACCTACTGTATCTATGAAATGATAAGAGACTGATAGCAGAGGTTTTGTATTAGCTGACTGGACGATAGAGGTGGAGAGAGGTGGATTCACTTTCACTGTATATTCTATTGTAATATTTGAATTTTGTATTGACTATTGAATATAAACTGTAATACATTTTTTCTTTCTTTTTTTTTTTTAAATCCTCACTCGAGGAAATTTTTTTTTTTTTTTTTATATTTTGTTCAGATAGAGTGGGAGGGAGAGAGAGAGAGAGAAACATCGATGTGAAAGGGACACATTGAGTGGTCACCACCCACACGACCCAACTGGGGCCAGGGACAAACTGCAACCGAGATACTTGCCCTTAGCGGGAACCGAACCCCGGTCTCTCTGGACCACAGGCGGACGCTCTAAAAACTGAGCCAAACTGGCCAGGGCTGTAATACTTTTTTCTTTATTTTATTTTCCCCCATCATTTATCCTCCCATACCCTCTTCCATTCCACCAACCCCCTTCTTCCCCGCAATCATGAGTTCTTTCTCTCTCTCTCTTTTTTTCTTTCTTTAAATTGTGCCTTTAAAATTAGGGAGGATAGCCCTGGCCAGTTTGGCTCAGCGGTTAGAGCGTCGGCCTGCGGTCCGGAGAGACCTGGGTTCGGTTCCCGCTAAGGGCACGTACTTCGGTTGCAGTTTGTCCCCGGCCCTGGCTGGTCGTGCGGGTGGCAGCCACTCGATGTGTCCCTTCATGTCGATGTTTCTCTCTCTCTCTCCCTTCCTCTCTCTCCCTCCCACTCTATCTGTACAAAAAATGGAAAAATATCCTCAGGTGAGGATAAAAAAAATAAAAAATAAAATAAAATAAAATAAAATTAGGGAGGATATACAAGAAGGAAAAATGTTAATAAATTCACATTTATTAAGCATTCATGAATTCAATTCAATATTCAGACATTGATATAAACTAATGTTACCAACAAGAATTATGAGTGTTTAAATATGTATTACATGATATAAAATGGCAATTTTTGCCTGGCTAGTGTGGCTCAGTGGTTGAGTGTTGACCCATGCACCGAGAGGTTGCCAGTTCCTGGTCAGGGCACATGGCCAGGTTGTGAACCAAATCCCCAGTGGGGGGCATGCAGGAGGTGGCCAATTGATGTTCTTTCTCATCGACGTTTCTATCTCTCTTTCCCTCTCCCTTCCACTCTCTCTAAAATCAATAAAGAAAAAAAAATTAAATGGCAATCTTTTCCCAGTTAGTAGGTAAAAAGTGCTAATTACTTTCCCCTACATTTTCTTGATTTCTAATTGAGATCAGATATTAAAAACTCATTTTCTACTTAATCATTTCTTTTAGAAATTGCTAGCACACAAAAGGACAGCAGGTGCCAAAGATTTAATAAAAATTTGTACACAATTATGACATTGAGAAAATTCTAACCATAACATATTTTTCCCCACCAATTGGGAAAACACTACCAGTTTATGGGTGAATGCCTTGGTCCAGCTCACAGAACATGAGTGTTTTCAGAAACACAGTCTGATAACTTTTTGACTAAAATAAAGCAAATCTAAATTTAGGCCTTAATTAGGAGGGGTTAATGAAGTACCCAAAGCTGTGGGATAAGATAGACATGTTTTCAAATTCCACTCTACCACACTTCCTAGCTGTGTGACTTGGAACAAATCGCTTAACTTCATTGAGATTCATTCCCTCATCTCTAAAAATAGGGATAAAATTTGCTTTCAGAATTTTAAGGGTTAAAGACAAAATCTCTAGGATGCTGGGGTCAAATTAGAGAGGGTTTTCACAGTTGGTCAGGGGCCAGCCCTTTGGGATCCTGACAAAGGGGAAGCGGAGAAAGAGAGAAGCAGCATGACCCTGATGTACTACCAAAGCCGTAAGGCTTCAGTGAACTGCTATGAAGGGTCGGTGGCTGCTTGCTGGAGGGCAGGGAGATCAGATGCAGCCAATAGAGAATAGGTTGGGGAAAGATTTTGAAATTTATTCTTTACTTTCCCCTACACTGCCTTGGGAAGATCCTTGCTTGCCTCAGATACTGGCAAAACTTGTCTAGTCATCTGTTGTCAATTTAGTAACATCTCGGTAGTCCCTCTGGTAAGAAGATAATGCTTTTAAAAAGGGGGTGCTTGCTCCCCATTGGGCATTTTCCTCCACCATTCCCCTAGCAACTGTCAGTGCTGGGGGATTAAAAATACCTAGAGCCCAGGCTGGTTTTCTCAGTGGTTAGAGCTTCGGCCCACGGACTGAAGAATCACGGGTTTGATCCCCAGTCCAGGGCATGTACTTGGGTTGCAAGTTCGATCCCTGGCCCTGGTTGGGGTTGTACAGGAGGCAAACCAAACCAGTCTTTCTCACATTGATGTTTCTCTCTCGCGCTCGCTCTTCCAGTTTCTCTATAAATCAATGGAAAAATATCCCAGGGTGAGGAATAACAACAACCAAAAAATACCAAGAGATTGCCTTCTCTCAGTGATGCCACTTTTTAAGAGTGCAAAGGGGAAAGAAATGGAGTCCTGACTGAGGACTGGCTGGAGCAGTGACAACAAATGGAGATGGTCAAAACTGGTGTTGTAGGGATTGCTGCTCTCCAGCCAGACCCTTCTTTTCTTTCCTTCCTTCCTTCCTTCCTCCCTTCCCTTCCCTTCCCTTCCCTTCCCTTCCCTTCCCTTCCCTTCCCTTCCCTTCCCTTCCCTTCCCTTCCCTTCCCTTCCCTTCCCCTTCCTCCCTCCCTCCCTCCCTTCCTTCCTCTTTCTTTCTTTCTTTCTTTCTTTCTTTCTTTCTTTCTTTCTTTCTTTCTTTCTTTCTTTCTTTCTTTCTTTCTTTTTCAATCTTTATTGTTGAGAGCATTACAGATGTCCCTCCTATTTCCTCCCATTGTTCCCTTCCACCCCGCTCCTGCCCCACCCAGGTCTTCACCGAATGATTGTGTCCATGAGCAATGAATATATGCATTTAAGTTCTTTGGTTAATCTCTTCCCTCCCCCCTTGCCTCTGAGATTCATCAGCCTGTTCCATGCTTCCATACTTCTGGATCTATTTTGTTCATCAATTTATTTTGTTCATTAGATTCCACACATAAGTGAGATCTTGTGATATTTGTCTTTCTCTGTCTGGCTTATTTCACTTAGTATAATCATCTTCAGGTCCCTCCATGTTGTCTCAAAGGGTAAGAGATCCTTCTTTTTTATAGCTGTGTAGAATTCCACTGTGTAAATGTACCACAGCTTTTTTATCCACTCACCTATTGATGGGCACTTGGGCTGTTTCCACATTTTAGCTACTGTAAACAACACTGCTATGAACATAGGGGTGCATATATTCTTTCTGATGGGTGTTTCAAGATTCTTAGGATATATTCCTAAAAGTGGGGTCACTGGGTCAAATGGCAGTTCATTTTTAATATTTTGAGGAACCTCCAAACTGTTTTCCACAGTGGCTGCACCAGTCTGCATTCCCACCAGCAGTGCACTAGGTTTCCTTTTTCTCCACACCCTCGCCAGCATTTGTTGTTTGTTGATTTATGGATGTTAGCCATTCTGGCAGGCATGAGGTGATACCTCATTCTAGTTTTAATTTGCATCTCTCTGATGATTAGTGAAGTTGAGCATTTTTTCATATGTCTCTTTAGAGAAGTGTCTATTTAGGTCCTTTGCCTATTTTTTAATTGGATTGTTTGTCTTCCTTTTGTTGATTTGTATGAGTTCTTTATATTTTGGTGATTAAATGTATCATTGGCAAATATATTCTCCCATACAGTGGGTTCCCTTTTCACTTTGAGGATGGTTTCTTTTGTTGTGCAGAAGCTTTTTGGTTTGATGTAGTCCCATTGTTTATTTTTTCCATTGTTTCTCTTGCCCTAGGAGATGTATCAGTGAAAGTTCTACATGAGATGTCTGAGATATTGCTGCCTATGTTTTCTTCTAGGATTTTCATGGTTTCATGACTTATGTTTGTCTTTTCTCCATTTTGAGTTTATTCTTGTATATGGTATACGTAAGTTGGTGGTCTAGTTTCATTTTTTTGCATGTACCTCTCCAATTTTCCCAACACCATTTATTGAA